AATAGAAAGGCTAGAAACTGACAGAGAATAAACGAAGAGACAGTTAGTTAGTTAGTAAACAGAGAGAGACTACCTCAATCCCAATGAAGCATTGCCTTGTGATGATCAGAGTGAATCATGACCGTCGATTGATTGTAATCGACGGTCCAAGGCTCAACTGTATGGATCCACATCCCGAGCTATTAGATCTAAGAGATCGACGCTGTAGATGAAGCCGTTCATCGTCGACGGAGAGACGGAGAAGAAGGCTTTGTGTTTTCTTTCTTCTCAACTCTCTCTCTGTGTTTTACAAGGCGGCAGATTTTACGAGATGATTCGCATACTTGTGTGTGGCAAAATGGAAAAAGAAACTGGAAATCCTTTGGACCAACATTGCCTCAACCTCTGGTATATGGAAGGCTATCGGAACCTGAAGCAAATGGCAACTACAAAAAAGAAGAGTATCATTAAAATGTCAAAAGAATTCAAGAAAGATGACATATGTATGAATATAAAGAGGCAATATACCCATTATTGTCATATGCAATTTTAACAATGTTAGGTACAAGGGAAAACGGCGACTGATATTGGAAACTGAGATAATATATATATATATATACGGTTTATGTATGTGGGTGTGTGTATATGTGCATGGTACGTACGAAGCAAAAAAACAAAAATCAATTGGAGCTATAAAGGTTTGTTTTAGCATTGAGTAAAGAAATTGATTGTCAAAAATAATACTAGCAAATCTTACTAGTACATGTTAAGTTGGTTAGTGACTTGATGATAAGAGGTCTAAGAATTTTGATTTCAATTATTGTTTGACTTTAATAGTTAAAATAAGGGAAAATCCCAGAAAAAATCTCCAAGTTGAAACATTTTCCCAAGCAAACCTCCAACTTTTTTCGTTCTTATATAAAACCTCCAAATTGAAAACTTTTCCCAATTAAAACCTCCAACAAATTAATTTTCTCTAAAGAAACTTTCAAGTCGTCAAACTTGAGCCCGATCAATGGTTGACCAATGATTGCTGGTAATTTGGTTCGGAATAGTTAATATTCGTTGACGACATCTATTTTTCGTTGATTTAGTTTCCAAAATTTTATATGAACCCTAAAAATTAGAAAAAATGTATAGAGTTCGTAATTAAGATTTTCATCTTTTCTATTGTAACTAACACATGTGAATTTTGAAAACTAAATAAATGGAAAACATGTCGTTAAAAGCTGTTTACCGTTAGTTAATCATTGATCAGGCACAAATTTGACGACTTAAAGGGTTTTTTAGAAAAAATTAATTAGTTGGAGGTTTTATTTGGAAACATAAAAAGTTGGAGGTTTAAATTGGGAAAAAAAATCAATTTGGATGTTTTATATGGGAACGGAAAAAGTTTGAGATTTTAGTTGGGAAAATTTTTTAATTTGGAGGTTTTTTCTGGGATTTTCCCTTAAAATAAATATAATAAAATCCCAAATTTATAAATTATCTTATGTTTTCGGCAATTTTCAAAGACTTATTGAATGCTACCTTTGGTTAGCATAACGAACAAAAGAGGTAAATGATTATATATTGCTACGAAAATTATGTGATCCAAACAATCATTAGCCATTATGCAGGAGACCAAAATCTGAGGGCTTGCAAGGTTCAAGAAGATCATCACATTGTTCAATCCATTACGGTTATTTGCAAGATCAAGGATTTGGTTTGCTATCATGGATAATAATGGCTGAAAAGAAACAAAAGAGGAGTTGAAAGTTGATATTAAGTTCTTTAAACAAAGAGAAAGGAAAGGCAAAACAAGCTTACCTCAAGCTCATCAAAGGAAAACTCATGAACCACCTTTTGAAGAAATGGATCAATCTTGGAAGATTGAAACAACATGTCTACCAAGCAACCACTCTTCAAAGTGGAAATAAGTTCTGGTTTCATGAATTCGGAGAATTGAAGTGATGTAAACAATGAATCCACACTACAATTCCAAACAAAAATAAAAACGTTAAGAGCCAAATGGGAGAAAAACGAAAACACGAAAACGAAAACAGTAGATTAAAATCTAGTAGATTAGTATAGCACCATCTTTCGACTTTTAAGATATTTATTTCTACGAATATATCACAAAGCATCGTCTTATTATGTCTAAATAATAATTAAAGACACGTTATATGGGGCAGTTTTCATCTACACGAGACTTTTAATTTTTGTAACATGTGTGTCCGTACGTCATCTACTCCAATTATAATTACTAGATTTTGTGTCCGCGCGTTGCGTGGAATTTTAATTTAAAATTATTTTGTATTAAAAAAAATTTTGATCATAAAATATAATCATTTAAATTTAAAAGATAAATATTTGAGCATAATATAATAATTCAAATTTTAACATCATTTCATATAAAATTTGAATATACTCAGTTTCATGAACATTATTTAGTGTAAAGATACATCTATAATATCATGTTGCTATAACAACTTTATCGATCATGTTTTACCCATTGAAGCAAGTGCATTCTGCCATAAGAGAATTCTCGACGAAGTCATCAATGTGCCTATTTTATCTAACTTTTCATCATTACACCACCAAACGGTTAAACCCAATTTTGAATCTAATAATCTGTTTAATAATGTATGTCATGTATTTTTCCAAAAACTCATTCATTTCACACAATGAATGAGATCTCAAAGAATTTAACCTTAGTCATGTGCATTATTTCTAAGTTTTAGAAATTTATTTTCAAACACTTTTAACTACCAATTCTTTCGTTATCTTCTATGATGAACTCGTTGATTCTCGACATCTACTTTCTTTTCACCTTCTATTGACTCACATATTATATATATTGATTGGACTATGAATTGATTTTCAAGACATATCATTAATTATTTTCTCCTTAATTACTATCTTCAATACTCAAATTTTTGGGTCAAAAGCATTTGATGAAATATCAATCTTGTTTTGCTTTTTGATCAAGTTATAAATTTGTAGTTTCAATTGAGAATATGCTATACAAATTACATATACTTTTTCTAATGGCTTACATTTCATTTTCTGTATATTTTGTGTAGAACTCATGAATAATATGATCATTGATTATTTTTTTATTTTTTTTAAAGATGGATGATAATGTTTCAAAATTTTCAAGAATTTTTTTTATAATTTCACAAGATAAAGTGTGACTCTTACAATACCTTCGTCTTAAATTTTAAATTTAAGTTGAGTTTAGTAATCTTTTATTTTTCTTGAAGTGAAAATTTAATAATAAATAAAAATATGTAGTAGATTGTTCTTAGCAACTAATGTTTCACTTTAAATTTTATGTTTTTTAAAAAAAATTTATATACAGAATTACATAAATTTATTTTTATTCTACCTTGTATTTAAAATTTACTTCCATTGTAAAACTCAAAATATTTAAAATTTTGAAGTATGGTCATTTTTAATTTTTATTTCATTAAAAGTGGAAGTATATTATTACTACTAATAATATTTTTATAGTTTTTTAATTATTTTAATAAATCATTTATTTTACATAATTCTTTTTTTTTTTATTTAAAATTTCTATTAATTATAAGTAACATAAATATGCACTAAATAAATGTTTAAAGTGTATTTTAATGTAAAATAAATAATGTTGCTTAAATGGATGCTTAGGTAGATGCTTAGATAGATGCTTAGGTGGATAAGATAGATGGAGAGAAGATTCTCCCATTATATATATAGATAAAACTCTAAATATTTAAAGATTTGAAGTATGATCATTTTTAATTTTTATCTATCAAAAGTGGAAGTATATTATTACTACTAATAATATTTTTTCAGTTTTTTTTTATTACTTTAACATCTCATTTATTTTACATAATTCGTTTTTTATTTATTTATTTTTTTATTAATTATAAGTAACATAAATATGCACTAAATAAATATTTAAAGAATTAAAGTGTATTTTAATGTAAAATAAATAATGTTTCTTAAATAGATGCTTAGGTAAATGCTTAGGTAGATGCTTAGGTGGATATTGGATATGCTAGATGGAGAGAAGACTCTCCCATTATATATATACACTTAAAAGAAGTTGATCATGATCCTCTATTTTTGCTAGGCCTAAACATTTATAATGTATTTGACTAGGATTTAACCCGCGGTGTACCGCGGGACAAAATCGTACTTTAAGTATTTTATATAATAATTTATAATTCATTAGATTTTATTTTGTATATAAAAATTTTACTCCGTGGTACATTGTAGGTAGATTTTTAAACTAAAAACTTTAAATTTTAAGTTATATTTGTTTTATTAATATTGTTTGGTTTGTTTAGTGTTTAAAATTATATAATTATATTTTTATTTTTAATTCTAGGATTTTATCCGTTGTATACCTTTCCGTATTAATATCGACCCAAATCCGTCCCACCATATAAAATCCATTTCATTTTTATTTGGAATCGAATGTCAAAAGAAGCAATTGTATGATGATCAAGAAAAAAACTTGTCTTTCTATTTATAGAGATTTTTTATTGATTTTCTCAATTATTAAATTTTAAAAATCAAAAGAAGGAAAGAGTTTTATTTTTGTCCAATAAACTTTTGAATGCTATTTTTGTCCCAAAAACTTGATTTGGGGTTATATGAGATCATTTCTCTTTTCGTAATCACTATAGTGGTTGTCAAAAATTATGTGGATAACTTCTTTTTTTATAAACATTAAATTTTCAAATTTTATATAGTGTATTAGTGTGATTAAATAGTTCTAGAAGTGGTACACTCAATATTCCAAATCTCATATTACAAAATAAAGATTAGATGATCACTAGAACCTACATATTAACATAACGGCTCCTTGATATGCACATATTTCTTCTAGAGTGTTCCTTTCTTTCTACAAATTTATTATCTAATCTTTACTTTATAATATTACATTTGAAAAGTTGCACCTTCATGCATGCATCATTTCCTAATTTTAGAAAAGATATATTTCCTAGTCAATGATATACGGATTCAATTTTTCAAACAATTATTTGTGATATTTCAAAGAAACTTCAATTTCAATTGTCCTTGAAACATGTGGTAATATATAGAGCATTCCTAGGTAACAACATCAACTTGTAATATATATATAGATTCATGAACAATGTTACAAGCATCTAATGAGCTTCAGAGTTCATCGTGCATGCGTTGTTGTAGAGGAATGTTAACAGTTGGAACTGTATTGCCATCAAACTGTTGTCCGAGAGGCATAACATCATCTCCTACACCATTTGCTCCTTTTCCAGCTAATTGAGCTTTAATAGCAGCAGTGGCCATTCTTTGCAGTTTGAGAATTCCGATGCGCTTTGAAACAACGTAAACAACAGCAAAGACAAAGAGAGAAAATCCAACTATGAGGATTATCCTGTTGACAGTGCCACCGGAAACAAGAGTTAGTTATTATTATTATTATTCACCTGAAGAATGATTTGATTAAACAGAGTCTATTCTCTTTTCAAATACCTGTCAATTACATCTTGACGCTGCATTGTCGAAAGTAGATTACGGGTCCTCGACAACAGAGACCTATGACCTTTGTATTCACTCTCGGCTTTTTTAAGTACTCCAGTAGATTCATCTACAAATGTTAACATGGATAATAATAAGTCAGTTTTGTGTTTTAACCTGTTTTCACTAAGCACTTAATTATCTGGCATACTATGAATGACATACCAAAAGCCACGAGAGTGTTTGTACTTCTTTCGACCTCCTGTAATCCAACAAGTCAAGAGAGACTATTTTGATCAGACAATTCAACTTTTGTTTATAAATTAAGAAGCCGAAAATGCAAAGAAGGTGTAAATGCACAATCCCTTCATTTCTGACCTGAACCATCAGCTGCCGTGAACGCCTGAGACTTTCAGTTATGCTTTCAGCATCCGATGTCACGCCAGCATTTGCTCTACAAACAACCAAAAATGTTAGATTCACTGGAAAGTAACACTGAACTCTTTTCGGTGCATGATTCATTTACCAATAAACAAAAGCATAATACAAGTTAAACACTTTCAACAGGAAACGCAATTGAAAGGCTGGGTTTTGTAGGATAGATATAGCAGAGTTTCCAAGAAGTACATACTGCCGTTTACGTCTGAGAACTGTAGACTCTGTTCCACCACCAAGGAGAAGCTCTCTCTACAATCATTGTAAGCCTCTCTTTATACAAAAATTTCAAAGGAGATGGCTGGTAAAAACAGCGGCAGAGAGAGAATGCTTAAGCCATGAGACTTTACCTCTTCTTGAGCTGCTTTCCTCATGTTATCCTTAGCTTGCAAATTAGCACTTCTCAGGTTTACCCTCAAACTGACCACAAACACAATGACAAAACTCAAATTAGTTTTCACCCATTTATCTTTCCCTGAACTCATACACTAACTCTCTCGCTGTACCAGAATTCTAAGTAATGGAGATCAAACTCAAGCTCAAGGAAATACTTTAAAACACTCATATAGCATTGAAAACAGGATCAACGATGACTCAAGTACCCCTAAGCCAAGGTTAAACGCCCACTATATCACATCATTTGTCCTATAGATTGCATTACTCTCAACTGCCTAAAGACGATCATCGTTGTACAAATGCAACGTTCCTTTCTTCTACTTCTGGAATGTTGTAGATTCCACAAACTTATGATTTGAATCAAACAATACCTGTGATATTGATTCTTCCAGGTTTCAAGCAGTGACTGAGTAGATTGCACCTGATCATCTGAAGGAAGCTGAGGCGCGAGAAGATCCAAATTGAATTGTAGAGAATTGAGAAGAGAGAGACCATCCTGAGCCAATCCGTTGAGCCTCTGCAGCGAAATCTTCTCTTCTCCTCTCCTTGATTTACCGTACTCTTGAATCGCCATGATATGTTCGATCGTCTTCTCGTACGCTTCTTCCCATTCTCTCTTCGTCTTCTCCACTTCAACAACAACCTCATCCATGTCTCAACTGCAAACTATATATAAATCATAAAACTGAAGATTTTTAGAACAATTTGAAACACTACAGACACAAAACTTACATTGGAGAACAGTGGAGAAAGAGAGAGAACGAAATCGGATCTCTGTGGACACCGTATTTGACGAAGCAGAGAGTGTTGGAGATCAAAATCGATCGGAGGAGATCTCAAAATTCGATTCTGGGGAAGAAGAAGATGGAGGATGAGAATAAACTAAAACGACGTAGTTTTACGTAAATTTTCCTTTTTAATATCGGAGATAACCACGTCTGTTCTGAATCCGGTTAACTTACAATTGGAGTTAAACCATCAATAAGGCTGGTCCAATGTCCGGTTACTATATATTGTCATATTATGGGTTTAATACATGACATTAGTGCTGAGTTTTGTTAAAAATTAATGTTCTCCAATTACATTAATGTGACGACAATTACACCGACTGACCCAAAATTGGTAATTGCTGCATCCGATTGCCTGAACTGCGTGCCGTTTAACAAAATCTCAAAAAGAAAAACGGCATGCATGCTTAGTAGTAATCTACTCTAGTTCTAGTGGACTAACTGGTGCAATTGTGAAAAGAGAGATGATCAATTACAAACATAGCTAATGTTTCAAACTATGAGATACTGACTACATCTGATGCACTCAAGCTTGAGGACGTTCCGAAATTCCGGTGCTTTCCATCCGCTAGATTAGCCAGAGAGTAGCCTTGTTCATGGAGTTGGTTAATCAGAAGAGTCTCTAGCTGACAAGCCATGCTCTTACCTTGCACCATAAGGTATAAAAAACTTGACCCTTGCAGTCCTTCCTTTGCTCGATGCGAACGTATTCTTCCTTCAAGATCATCCGTCTGCAGTTTCATAAGTAGAATCCTCAGAATCAAATCTTTGGTTTTTCTGTCTATTCTAAGGGAGGTTTTATAATATTGATATGGTAAGTATGTACCTGTCCAATGTACAATCTCTTATCGGGTCTACGCATCACATACACGCATGAAGAACCAACTGTAGATGGAGGTGGAAGCTCTCGAGCACCGATTGAAAGACATTCTAATGCTTCAGGCTCAATCATCTTTTTTCCACAGATTTTAATGATAGCTTTTGCCAAGTCCTTCTCCAAACTTCTCTCAGAACTGACTGGTTTGCGGATCTGCTGGTCATTGTTGGATGAAGTTACGATTTTGTCGGGTTTGACAACTCCAGATGATGCGTCTTTTGCATAGACCGAGAGGTAAAGAGCTTCGGCTCTTTGGATGATTGTCTCGGGAACACCTTCTCTCTTAGCTGTTTCAAACGCAAGACTCTCTCTGCAGACTCCATCTGTCAATTTCCAAGTTGGCTTCGTTTGCCCTTCGACATTTTCGGCTCCCATTGCTTTATATGTGATGTTTTTGGCAGCAAGAGGTAAACTGAAGATTCCATGGAGATGAGTAGATACAATACCCAAACAACCACTTGTGTCAAGACTCTCTACCACACTACCAGCGATACAGGTGCCTTTTGCTGTCTCTGTCCCTCGGCATATCTCGTCTATAAGCACTAGGCTTCTTGAAGTAGCCTGGCTTACGATAGATCGTATTTCCGACATTTCTACCTGATGGCACAGAACCAGTTGAGAGGATATCAAACATAACAATTGAAAAAAAAAAAATCAGTTTGGTGAATTCTAGATTTGTATGCTTATATATATACCTGGAAAGAACTTTTTCCGTCTACAGGGCTGTCATAGGATTTCATGTGAAGCATGATGGAATCAAAGTGAGGGATAGAAGCTGATTCAGCTGGAACCATTAAACCAGAAATTCCAAGTAGAGCAGCTGCGCAAATCGATCTGAGCAAACTTGATTTACCACCACCATTAGGTCCAGTTAGAAGAAACAGTGATTGCATGTCAACGGTATTGTGAACAGCAGTTCCAGAAGATACATCAAACCAATAAGGTGATAGGCCTGTCAGCTTCATTCGACTGGCACCATCTAATGGTTTTGCGCCCTATATTAAAATATATCAAAATAGGTGAGAAAAAACATGAGGTATAAGAATAAGACAGCCCAGCATGTTTCGTAATGTCTTAGAAATTGCATGTATCTGTCTACAAACTTCAACAACTAGCAAGCATAGTTACCTCATCTGTACTGAATCTGACAAGCGTTGGAAAAACCCACTTTCGCCTTCTCCCTTCACTGCAGTTGTGCACAGTACTTAAAATTAAAAATACAGAAATTTCTTAGTGGGGATTGATTAAGAGCAAACTTACCAAGCATGAGCAAATAATGCTTTTGAAATGACCAGAAGCATAGATGCAAAGACAAGAACATTTATTTTTGTTTGCAATTTAACAGATAACTCGCGCAACAGTTCCAACACCCGAGTTTTTGCATTCTCACTAGCTTCATGGTATCTGCAACAAAAGCATAATATGACATCAATATCTACCCAGTATATTATTGAATAAAATATCTAATGGGATGTTCATTAAAATAGGGAAACAACCTGACTAAAGCAGCTTCCACCTTTGGGGTTGTAAACCATTCTTCTCCAACCTTTTTTCCTTTCGAGTCGAAAGCAGGTTTCAGCTGTTTAATTTGGTCTTCCCCTGCAGTACCAGCCCAGATAGATGGTGTAAACCGTTTCCCCTTGAACCAAACAGACTCATGCTCTCTTGCATATGCAATTTCGCCCTTCGGGCCACCAAGTGAAGCAGTGGTGGCCTTAATTCTTGATATAATAGGGAGGAAATCCTCAGCTACCTACACACGAATGTTTTGTTTCTTATGAGTAAGACAAGATCACCAGTACCATTGTATTGAAGTAAAAACAATACCACATACAGGACCATCTATTATCACCTATAGAAATAAGCTTCAATTCTCGATTACTTACAGCTAAAGATAAAGCCTCAGCTGATTTTTCCACTTGAGTGATTTCCTTCTCTATATGAATTCCCTTTACGCGACCACGCCATGAAGACTCCATATCATAAAAGAACTCATTCGGAACATTAGCGCATTTACTAACATTCTGATGACTTTCATTGTCATCTAGAGATATCATTTCACCAATTGTATCAGAAGCCCAATGACATTCGTTGACCTGGCAAGGAAACAAAAACTTGAACTTATACACATACTCATCAGCTGCAGAACCCAGAATTTCATATAACTAGATAGATTAGAAAAAAAATTGCATTCAACTGAAATGCTTCTTCTTGAGCTTGTGTCAAGGGATAGGTAGGTACTGATCATCAAGGAAAACATAACAAAACAAACATGCAAATATAATCTCTAAGTCGTGCTTAGATGCATAAACTTACAAAAGTTTCAAAGTCAATCTTCAAACCAGTAGCCACCCAGGTAGGATCCATCAATAATTTCAGGATTTCCACAAGCTCAGCATGTTTATACATATGTAATACTTCATCAAGAACATTTTTTATTCGGCAGAACTCAATGTAGTTGGCTTCACGTTGCTCTAGAAGCTTCACAAGCTGCAAAAAGGTGTATATAGAAGTTACAAACTGACCATGCATTTCTTAGAGTCAGTAACTGATAGCTGGTAACCCGGAAGTTTTGCATATGCTGCTATAGTCACAAAAGATCACAATGAGCAAGGTAATTCTTAGCAAGTGACTAAAAACCTTAGCAGACGAGAGGCAGGTAAACTCCGGAATTGAGCAAGTTACTATGCTCATGAGCTTGCACGTTTCTGCAAATAACAATGAATTTGCAGGCTGAATGAGTAGCCCTAAATCATAAAGAAATCTACAAGGGAATAAACTAAGAAAATTTTCCACATTGGTCAAATTACCTTGAATTTTCAGAGCAATGTCATAAGCAGGAGGATTTAGAAGAAGATCTCGGACATACCTGAGAGGATAAAGGCATCAAAGGAGGTACCAATTTTCTTTAAAGATATCAGATTTTCTACCCTAAGCTAAGATGATGCTTCGAAGAATATAACCAACTTTCCTTTCTATTTCTTAAAAATTGCTTACAAAGAAGGCAGACCACTGCACGTAGATGGAAGTAACACCTTCAACAAACAAGGCACCTGCAGTACCACATTATATGTATTAGCATGCTTTACCATTCCAAAACTCCTAAACTTCCTACAACTATTCACCAAGAAGAACTATGCCAACCAATTTGTGTAGCCGTTCCAAGATGCAAAGGACGTGGCCGGTTTTTTGAAGGTACATTGACATTTCTAAAGGAAACTTCATCATCAAGACCATAAACATCTTTGACCTGTGAGAAAAAAAGAAGTAAATATTTGATTTTTCACAAAACTGAAATGTCACAAGCAAAATGCAAATTTTACAGCAGCCAAAGTTTGTAGTCATGACCCTTGATAAGAGCTCAGAAAGGGTATCTCCTTCAAACCATTCAAAATTCCTGCCACTGCATTCTCCCCAGAGAAGACCCCCTTCCCCAAACTCTCCCCAGCGGCACGTCCCTGCATACCATAATTTTCAAGAATTGTTATCGTAAAAGACAATAAAGCTCAAAAGCTAATTAAGTTGAAAAATCATGAATAGTATTTTGCTTCTAACAGTCTCCTGACACTTTAAATAGACTGCTAGATCATATGCTGCCACCTGGGCGTACTTATGTTCATGTGATGTTAAAATTGCACACTGTCCACATTTGGCATTATCTTCACAGTTCAGAGGTGCTAATACAATGTAGAGATTGTATACAAAACCTGATGCATTGTGCCTCAACGATGCATGTAAGAATAGATGATGACAGCGACGGGTGCGGAGCTTAGTAACCAAGGCTTCTTCTGTTAGACCATCATCTAGCGAATATGCTTTCATAGTCTCGAAAATAGATATCATGCAATACCCCCTTGCTGAACGAGATATCCCTGTACTTACAGAAAAAATCAAGTCATGTAATACTTACATACAAAAAATGAAGACTTGAAATCTTGAATAGGTTGTAATTACGGCGTAAAATAATATTTCACTGACTAACAACATACCATAAGAAATACTTACCAACAACAGGCATAGGTTCAGGAAAGTCAAGATCGTGGTCAACACCAACAAGCCCATATACATAAGGACTTCCTGGATGTGCATGCCTATATACATACAAGCGTACATGTCAGAAAGATAAATATCAAGGAAAGAAAAGTTTCAACGTGCTTTCCTAGAAAATAGGACAATGCATATTGCTGCTTGCGAAATCAGAAAGTTAGGGATTGTAACTTATTATACCCTGAAATAAATCGACCTTTACGAGAACGCGCTTGTGTTGGCCCCTGAACTTCCTCCACAATGCACTACAGTCACGAACAAAAAACGCAGAAATAGTCATATTATCATGTAGAATTATTCAACATGCTCAAGGGACACAAAAATATGGTAACTGATTTTCTTTTACAACTCACCACTGAATAACCGTTGCGTGTCAGGTCATCCAAAGTCTGTCGAAGATTCTGCAGAAAGAAAGAAAAATTATAAACTGGATTGAGAGCAAGAATTTGTGGGAAGGAAAAAATAGTTGTAGAGAACAAAGGTCTAAAGGGAAGAGTAAGAATGATAAATTGTAGCAGAAAATAAGTTTGGTATCCAGCAAAACGCACCACAACTTGATTTCATGTAAAACGCAACGGCAACTAAAGCAGCTATTTATATAACTTGCCAACTACAACTTTCAGAGACTAAATAGAAACAAACAGATTATACTTTACTGAAGGCAAATATTAAGAAACGGAGATGTTCTGTCTTTATTTGCCCTTCAGAACATTTGGCTGTCCTCTTCATAACCAGTTTTTTTTCAAGACAATACCAGAGACTAATTAGTTTATTTTATTGGAAGAACAAATTATCTTGAATCACATCAATGTCCTTAATGGAGTATGCTTGAATTCAAAAAGGATTGTGTACCACAACTGGGCAGCCAGCCTTTGGAACACTATCTGATCGAAGACCACCAAAAGGATTTAGACCAGCATATTCAACGAGTATACAAGCATCTATTCCAATAGCCTCATAAAAGTCTCCCACCTGGAAAAAAAAACAAATGCAGCAAAATTCTTCTAAGATGAGACATTAAATGCCATCATTCTACTAATTGGACGTAACAAGTATCAAAAAACGCATGGGATTAGAAAAGCAGAAAAAGTTAACTACGAAGAGAATGAGAAAGAGCAACATACTCTGCAGAGCAAAACTTCGCGTGGAAACCTTGACTTAAACTGCAACATCTCCCAGTTGAGGTTTCCATCTTTTAAACTGAAATGAAGAAAATTCAAAATATTGCATAAATGAAAACCACAAAGTAACCATAAACCAATAGGACAACTGGAATGAGAACTAATGGATTCGATTCCTACAGCCTTACAACTTAAAATATGAGGCTCCAAACATCTTTCTGATTCTCAATAAGTCTCCGTCAAGGAAGAAGGTTGAGTCATACTATGATATACATTACTAGCTCCTTGTCATTTCATAACCAAGCTCAAAAATGATTAAAATCTGACATCTAGAAAGTGAGATAAAATCTTCTAATAGTCTCAGAAGAGAACTGACCTTCCATTCCTCAAGCTAGGGTCCAAACCCAGTAAATTGGTGTACATAAGCCTTTCAATAAGCTGAAGAGTAGATGGTTTCTTACATGTCTGCAATCTCTGAGTAGACACAGAATAAAAAAAATAAGTATATCAGTTATACCAATAATATCCAAGAAGACCATCTCAAGACTTGAAAAGTCTTAACAGAATGAAAAAACAAGCTTTACCTCCTTCCACCAAACCAAATGAGAGAGATCTTTGTCAGTGAGAACATCACTTGACGTCTTGACTTTCTTAGAAGCCGTTGTGATTCCTTTTAAAGACTTTCGATCTCTGAGACAGTATATTCCCTCAGAGTACCTTCTATTACTGTCAATACAGTAAATCATATTAAAACAGATTTCTATGGAGAACCTAAATAAATAAGAAAAAAAGTCCAATGAGGAAGAACTAACAAGAACTAAACACACTAATCAAGGAAATTTGAGGTCTAAAGCCAATAAAATCAGAGAAAGTTTGTATGAAATTACAAGAAAAGGAAGAGAAATTTGAACTAATCTTGTCCCCAATCACATAACCAGGGAAAAAAAAAACAAAGTTGAGTATTCAAAAATTACTGGAATTTTTATAGATACAAAATCAAAACTTGCTCTATATTGGAGAGTGGAGATACATAGCGACGCACGCATGAGAAAAGCTTGTAGAAAGGAAACGAAGGGATTACAGTAGAATTGGGGAGGAGGGTTTGAGGGAAGAGTAAGTGCGATATGAGGAGCGGAAGAGGAATCGCCATTTGGGGAATGAAACGACGGCGTTTCTGGTAGCAATCCAATGCATCTCTCTCACAGTCACTCTGAAGTAGAAGAAGATGAAGAAGAAAAGCTTTTCTTCACCTGTCACCTTTTTTCTAGGGCTTCTTTTCCCGCCAGAAGACGACGATATGCTGCAATTCACAATTTCACAGTCCTCTAATGTTGATGACAACAACAACAACAAAAAAACAAAAAAAAAAAAAAAAAATCAGTTTTAGCACTTTTTAATAAATCATTTTTCGAATTTCACAAACTATTTTTAGACAGAAATGAATTTCTAATTGTTTGGGCCAATCTCTATGTATTAAACGGGCTTGATTGTAACTATAAAGTATAAACGGACCGGGTTTCAGGCAATACCCGACCCGGATAAAATAAAAGTTCCCTTGTCTTGTCTTGTTGCTGTGTTCTTCTTCTTCATTGTTTCACTAGCAGCTCTTTGAGAAATCGGGAAACAAAGAACTCGCTGCTTTCAATGACAATCAAACAGACTACACAATCTGCAGATGATTCAAACCCCGTGAGATTCCAACGAGGTAAGCCCTCTAAACCCCATGAAAAAAGCTAAAAAGATTTCTTTTCTTGTGAGTGACTGCTGCTTTTGACGTCTTTCTTTGAAAAACCATTTTTCTTACTTAAAAGACTTATCATCATCACTTACTTACACACAGAACAGAGCATTGATCATATGTTTTTTTAGTGTTCTTCCTTATAATTTGCACTTCTTTTATGTGTTTTGCTCCAGATATTGGGAAACAAAGACTCTTGAGAATCATTATAAAGGCTATTGCTTTCTTTTCTTTTTTGTTTGACATTTGTTATCTGATACTGTGTAATTGCTTCCTTTTTTTGTTCGACGAAATCATGTGAATTCTCTCTCTTGCAAGTGTTAGAATTCAGAAATAATTGTTGTATGTTAATGAGAATTCAGAAACAAAGCTTGTTGTTATTCATATAGTCACAACTAGTGTGATTAGGAGTCCAGTTTCAGGTTATCTTTTAGTTTTGTTATTCTTGTAAGTCATACTAGATTTTAACCCGCGGTACACCGCGGGATGATTTAATTTTAAAGTTAGTATAAAAATATTTTGTAAATTGTATCTCCTTATAACATATTTATTTATATTATAGTTTACAATTGTTATTAAGTAACGGTATACCACGAGTCCACGAGATAATTATTAATAAACTCAGGATTTAACCCGTATTAAAGCGGCATATAAATATTGATTCAAATTCGTCCGCAATATAAATCATTTCCGAAATATAACCCGTTCCGTAATTTCTTAACCCGTCCTGTGATTTGTATTAAAAAAAATAAGGATTAAATCCGTATTGAAGCGGCGGATTAATGATATTTTAATTTTATTATTGTTGATTCAAAAACCCGTCCCGCCAAACCCATCCCGCCAAAAAACTTATTTATTTTATTAATGTTCTTATTTATGATATGATTCTGAATCATTGTCTAAATATTTTAATCGATGTAGAACGTTGAACACACATTTTCGTCAATTGGATAATATATGTCCGTTTTTTAAAATTTCGAATCACAGTATATGCAGAAAAAAATTGATTTTTTTTTTTACTTTATGTATTATATGATGATTGAAAACAGTTAAAAACAAATCAAACAAAGATGATAGGAGAATCATAATTATAAATCTTAATCAAATCTTCTAAAAATCTAAATTATTAAATATGGAATATCCGGTGTATGAGTTGAGTTAAATATAACCCGACCCAACAAATTTTTTGTGAATGAATTTTTAAAATGGATCGGATATCCGATATACCCGAAAGCTTTTTTACCCATCCGTCACAAAAAGTGCTACGATTATACTAGTATAGATTATAGCTTATGAGATACCATATTATAGCATGACCCATAAGCTTTGACATAGCTCTCTGTCATTCCCAGTTTTGTGTTTTAACTTATTTAGATTTGCGGCTGCCTTGACCTTTCTTAGCGTTGTGTATAACTTAGCTTGAATCCTAGCAGCTACTACTCAGTGGCGGAGACGATTTCCCACAGGATGAAAAGGAGAAATGTTGGGAGAACGCAATGGTTGTCGATGGAATGAACAAAGACAGATGGTGCCTAGATGTCCAAGGAAATCTGGTTTGCAAGCCTTTACACAGAGGCTCTCTTGGAGCACATTGCTTCCAGTTTCATGCAATTGACAAAGACAAGGAACTCACAGCTGAAAACTGTCAGATTCTGTGTGCTGCTGCAGCCCGAGGATTGAAGCCGGACTCTTCTTTTACTCAAGAAGATTTTAAGCTGGTTGAAATAGCTCTCTACGGGTAATTTGAATAGGCTTTTCTGTGGTTAAGCTTTAGATTCAATACTAGATTGATCATGTTCTTGGTATATATATGACACCGTTTCTTTTTATACATATGAGTTGTTTCTAGATTGATTTATGTTCACACACGGTTCTTCTTGGCATGATTTGTAGTTCTGTTAATGTTTTATGAACAAGTTAACTAATGTTTAGCAATTGATGTTTTGCAGTGGAAGCAGTGTCGACAAGTGAATGACGATATAGATCCAGAAGCTAGAATAATTTGTGTTTTTATGACTTTTAGCCTTAGCTAATCTATGTTGTATGTAACTTTAGCCTTATCTAATCCTATGTTGTAGTGCGTGGAGCCTAAACATCATTATAAAATGAATATTGTCTAATTCATTTCTAAAAAATGACTATCAATTGTTTCTTAAACATAAAAGTTGTGAATAACAAAACTTCATTAAGAAATGAGTATTAATTATTAGAAAACAAAACCACTAAATGTCTAGACTCTAGAGTGCAGAGCCAACTAATTAAGTTTCAATAATACTTATGTGTGTGTGTTTGTTTGACACAACAAATACGAATTTGTTGTGAGTCAATCAATAATGCCATGTGGATTATCAGAGAGGCATGCACAAAGTGTTTTCACACAACAAAGCCAATGGCTATTTTGCATGTTGTGTCTGCTTCTTTAACTGAACTAAGGACAAATCACAAATATCCAATCACATTTCATCTTCTCCCTTAAGAAAGACTCCATAAAGAAGAAGAAAAAAGACTCATCAACAGAGAAAAAAATGGCAGAAGAGAGATCAAAGTTGACAACAAACCACTTCTATTATCATCAGATTATTCTTTGTTCATTTCTTATCATCTCACAAGTTTCCATTGCCTCAAGCAACACTAGTAGTGTAGGAGTTAACTGGGGAACAATGGCGAGTCACCAGCTTCCACCAGAAAAGGTAGTGAAGATGCTACAAGACAATGGTTTCACTAAGCTGAAACTGTTTGAAGCCGACCAAAACATCTTAGACGCTCTAATTGGCTCACAGATCGAAGTCATGATCGGAATACCAAACCGGTTTCTTAAAGAATTGGCTCAAGATACATCTGTAGCAGCTTCGTGGGTTGAAGAAAACGTTACTGCTTATTCTTACAATGGTGGAGTCAACATCAAGTACATAGCTGTTGGAAACGAGCCTTTTCTTCAGACATATAATGGAACTTACGTTGAGTTCACTTTACCAGCTCTTATCAACATCCAACGAGCCTTAGAGGAAGCTGATTTGAAAGGTGTGACAGTCACTGTTCCTTTCAACGCAGACATCTATTTTTCTCCTGAAGCGAACCCGGTTCCATCAGCTGGAGACTTTAGGCCTGAGCTAAGGGATGCAACGATTGAGATAATCAATTTCTTGTATTCACATGATTCGCCTTTCACGGTTAACATATACCCTTTTCTTAGTCTCTATGGAAATGCTTACTTTCCTTTGGACTTTGCCTTCTTTGATGGGACTAACAAATCTTTGAGAGATGGAAATTTGGTCTACACTAATGTGTTTGATGCGAATCTCGACACTTTGATTTGTGCTATGGAGAAATATAGCTTCTTGGGGATGAAGATCATCGTGGGAGAAGTCGGATGGCCTACAGATGGAGACAAGAACGCTAATTTAAAGAGTGCAAAGAGATTCAATCAGGGAATGGTAAAGCATGCTATGTCTGGAAATGGAACGCCTGCGAGGAAAGGAGTGATCATGGATGTTTACCTTTTCAGCCTTGTCGATGAGGACGCCAAGAGTATAGCACCGGGGACTTTTGAGAGACATTGGGGGATCTTTGGGTTTGATGGGAGACCGAAATACGAGCTTGACTTGTCGGGTAAAGGCAATGACAAGCCTTTGGTTCCTGTGGAAGATGTTAACTATCTGCCAAAAACTTGGTGTGTTCTTGACCCTAATGCATATAACCTCGATGACTTGCCTGATAATATCGACTATGCTTGTAGCTTATCTGATTGCACAGCACTTGGGTATGGATCCTCTTGTAACCATCTTACTGCTATAGGCAATGCTTCATATGCCTTTAACATGTATTATCAGATGCACGATCAGAAAACCTGGGACTGCGATTTCTTGGGGTTGGGTTTGATCACAGATGAAGATCCATCTGATGAACTTTGTGAGTTCCCTGTGATGATTGATACAGGAAATTCCCCGAGGTTGCAACCTGGATCTTCAAGAGTGTTCACCAGAGTCGCAGCCGCGGTTTTAGTTATGTTGGTCCTTCCCATCTTGTAGTAAGTACCTGTTGGTCGTTATGTCATTGTAAATCTCTCAAATTTTACTTCCTGCAAAAGAATCTTTCAAACTAAAGGTTGTTCCCTTGGATTAGCATAGCCTTGGAAAATACACACTTCATTAACTAGAAGAAATCGTATCAGAGAATTACATATTGCTAGAGTCATCTGTTCCAAAGCTGGAACTTAAGTAATATAAACGCCTAGAGTCTCAGAGTGGGATTAACAGAGAGAAAATGATATTACAATCAGAAGAAGCTGGTAAACATGTCAGATTCTTTTGGGTGATAAAGTATCTTCTCAAAGATGTGTTTCAGCTTCTCGTGTCGAACCATCTCGTCGAGGATTCTATCTTCGGAATCAACTTCGTTGTTGATCGGCTTATCCTTCTCATTGGTAGAAGAGAAGACCAGTTCGGATATGCGATGTTTCTCACTTTGCTTACAGTACTTGTTCCACTCAGATGTGTCTTTCACCATGAGATGGTAAATGAACACAGCACGCTTTTGACCAAGTCTGAAAGCCCGACTTATGGCTTGGCTTTCAACAGAAGGGTTCCAAACAACATCAAGAATCACAACTCTTGAAGCGCCAACAAGACTGATACCCTCGGAACATGCTTTTGTTGATGCCAGTAGAACTTTAGATCCACTGTCTGGTTTGTTGAAGTTGTCGATCAGATGCTGCCTGTCTCTTTGTTCAACTTTACCATGCATAAAGAGAATTTCTTCCCCTTCTTTCCAGCTAAATACTAAACTGAGCTGCTCCATGATCAGCTTTAGAGTGTCAATGTATTGGCTATACACCAACACTTTCTCTTTCATGGTTCCACTGATGCGGATGAAGTCGATAAGGAACTTTGTTTTCACACCTTCCTTGTACTTAAGTCTAAGCTTCTTCAGAGTTTCTAATGTTGCTGGCCCAATAACCAAGTTTTCCTTTTTCGTCGGATTGCAGCACAAATACAGAGATGGGTGTACTGAAACAGCTGAAAGCTTGTGCTCAAATTCAAATGTGCTTTGAGAAGTGTCAATTCTGTCCAGAATTTTCTTTTGTTGAAAAGGCGGGTTCAACACCAGAACACAGTCTCTTAGACCTAGAAGGCTTTCTTGAAGAATGTCTCCTTCGTGGACATGCACAAAAGGGGCAATCACAGCCTTAAGATCCACAATTCTATTTTCTTCATTCACCCTTCCGTGTTCTCCTTCTTGGCTGCACTTGATAAGTTCATGTAGCCTCGACGAAATCGTATCTTTACAAGCTGGTCTTGCCAGGCATAAGACGTTAGAAAGTTCCTTGAAATTATTCTGGAACAGTGTCCCTGAAAGAATGATACGCTTTTCTGTTCTGACTTCAGTAAGCACTTTCCAAATGAGACTATTCTGGTTTCTCGGGGTGTGGCCCTCGTCAAGGACCAGCAACCCCGGCAATTCTACCAACATCCTTCTAAACACTTGCATTCCTTCAGCGTTCTTATTTGTTGCGAGCTTCTCATACAGAGGGTAGCTAACTCCAAGAATGCTTTTCTGCTTCCACCACGAAACTAGCTTAACCATACGGATGGAATTATGATGCCTATCTCCCTCTAAACATGAGACAGCTTCAACGTCCTCATGCCCTGAGAACTGCGGACTATTCATATTATAAAATGGAATATTTGCGTTCCATTTCCTGAATTCTTCTTCCCATGTACGCATTAGACTTGCAGGAGCTATGACCATAGGATGGCTATCTGGAAACCGTTCTAAGTATGACTGAAGAAAAACGATGGTCAAGCGCGTCTTACCAGTTCCAGCCTTATGCGAAATAATGCATCCGCCACTTCCCTTAACCCCTACGCTGTTCAACTCATTAAGTTTTGTTGTCCCGGCTAAGTTCTTCCAAATAAATTCAAAGCCTTCTTGTTGGTGTGGGTACAAAGTATCTTTGATGCCAGGGACGTATCGCCAGACAGTTCCTTCTGTCTTCTCCAAAGGGGTGTCATGACTGCTGGGACCTGAAGCATCAAACTCAAGCCTGTTAGGTAAAGGGTCACCCTTTTTATCACTACATTTTTTATTGTCATTAACACTAGGACGATACTTGACCTGCACAATGCCGAAAAATGAAAATGTTAAGAACTCTGAATTCAAAAAAGAAAATCAACAAAATAGTACAACTCAATCTAGGATTTCCAAGTGCAATGGATGTTACCATAGCTGGTGAGATGTTTTTGATCTCGACAGCCACATACGAACAGTGGAGGCATTTCAAACCGATTTCCTCATCCAGGACAAAGTCGTGCGTCCCTTTGCTACATAGCTTATCTCCATTCTGATACATCAAAGAGCAAGTGATTTAATTTCATGGTGAAACAATGCTAAGACAAAGCTGGAGGTAAAAAAGCATGCAACAAGATTGTCAGGCATAGCCCAGACAAAATAGAAGAGTTAGTAGTCTTACTTTAGCAGGAGTAGATGAGTTCATTCCTTCCAATGTTAGAGCAACGGCCATATCTTCCCACAAGCTGTCTAATTCTTTCTCCTCTTCTGTTTTCTCGATAAGCACAGGCTCCTCGCAGCCAAATCTCAAGTTTAATGGAGGTGAATCTTCTGTCGAGTAGTGTATTGTCTCTTCTCCATCACATAGATTTTCGCCACCATAAAAACTCTCACCATTCAAGTGGTTCTTCTCCCTCACCCTGTGGAAACTCCTCGGTTCCCTTGGTTTCCCCTGTTCATTTACCTTTTCACTTGAGCTATCCCTATTTATACCATCTTCTCTAGAATCAACCTCTGCCATTTTGTCCCCGGAGCAAATGTCTTCCTTGAAAACGTCTTTGCTCTCCCAAATAGATTTAGCTAGCAGGTTAATTACTTCCAAGTTATGCTTCCTACGAAAACTCCTCGACTTCTTTTGGTAGTATACTTTTTCACTTGGGTTCTTTTCGCCTTTAGCAATGTCTCCGGTACCACCCTCTTCATCCTCAGAACGAACGAAATCACTATCAGAGCTCTCCTCACAAGAAGGATCTGAACTTTCCTCCATGTTATAAGATGGGTCATTAGCATCTTCATTCATATCAATCTCACTAGAATCTCTATCTTCGCCACTAACTTCCTCTCCTGAATCAGTCCCACATTCCTCGTCATCAGAATTAAAACTTAGACTCACAACCTCATCAGACTCATAAGTCTTCTCCTCACCCCTCAAATTAACATCATCCAAAAGAATATCACAAACCCCAGAACCAACATTGCCATCCTCAACATCTCCCGGAACAGTTCCAACAAAAACAACATCATCATCATCATCCGGAGATAAATGATCCAAAGTAGAAGTTTTCTCCTCACCCCTCAAATCAGCACCATCCACATCAAAATCGCAAACCCTAGGAGAAATCACCGAAGCAGAACCCACATTGTCATCCTCTTCAACATGATCATTCTCTCTCAAAACAGTTCTAACAAAAACAACATCATCATCCGGAGATAAAGGGTTAAAATTAGAAATTCTCTCTTCACCTCCCAAGTTACCATCATCCACATCAAAATCAGAACAATCAAGCGATTTCGATTCAAAATTCCCAGAAGTAGAACCAACATTCTCATCATCACGCTTACCTTCTGGATAATCAGTTCTGATAAATTCAACATCGTCGTCGTCATCATCCTCACCCACCTTACTCCGCCGTCGTTTCTTCTTCCTCGGAGACGGTGAACAAGCATCACGCATGTTCACTCTTCTCTTCTCCGTCCTCGAATTTAACGAATCCTCTTCTCCAGTAATCCCCTTTGATCTATTGAGAATCGAATTCAAGTAAGATTCAGTCCTTGAACGAGTTCTTCTAGCAACACAAGTAGTCATATCCATGGCTGAAGAAGAGAAATCGAAAACCCTAGAAGAGTGGATTTGACGAAGGAGGAAGAAGAAGATTGAAGAAACTCATGGGCTCTCTTTTTTTTTTGCCTTTGGCGGTAACGATTCAACTTTCTCGAAAACATTAATAAATTAAAAAGGGTTTTTTTGTGTTTGTTTCTTATTTTGGGGTATATTGTAATATTTGAAAACATGAGGGCTAAAATTAAAGTTATTAGATAAGTTTGGTTCACTTCTATTGGTGGGAATTGATTGACATGAGAGTTTCAAAGTTAGAAGGTGGGGATGATACTACTGGTTGTGTCAGTAGAGAATAGAGAGGTATTTAATAGGGTTCATAATTTAGTCTTTTATTCGTCGGGGAAAATGAAAAGTTTTTACTATTTTAATACAGTATATTTTACAATTTTACTACTATTTGCGTAGAGCATCTCCAATGGTGAGAAACGATATAAGTTTCTCAAATATAATAATTTGATGCTTTTATAATAAATAAATTATTTGTTTAAATTTTAATTAATTAAAAAAAACTTTAACCAATCAAATGATGTCAAGTGTTAGACACAGTGTCTCGCAGTTTCTCAAATGAGACACTGTGTCTCATTCTCTCTTATTTTTAATTATTTTTTCTTTTTTTTAATCCTTGAGACACTCCATTAGAAGTGCTTTTAGGATTCTCTCATTTTTGTTTTGATGTGACTAATATTTCTGATTTAGTGTTGGTTTAGAGAAAGATATCTTCTAGAGAGAAAAAATCTTGAAGTGAAACTATTGATGATTTGCCCTGCTTTATTATTTTATTATAGCTTAATGAAATTTTGGTGGTAATCAAATCTACTGGGAAAATTTTCTAGACAACATTATGCAATCCATGTCATTAGGAGATGATGAACAATTGGTGTTATGATGCAACTACGGCGCTATAAAAACCAAGGACAAATATGAAGCAAAAAAAATAGGTGTACGGTATGAAGAAAAAGAGATTAAAAAGTAATGAAAAAAACTTAATTTTTATAAAATTACATCTTACCAAATAGAGAAGTTAGAAGGTACAACTTTTGTCGTTGTTTTCGACATCGCCGCTTTGGGAAGAAGTTTGGAAAAACTAGAATACTTTATCTTGGTTCTTTTTTGCTGGAATAGAAGTCTAGGTTCACTTCGTGTGAGAGGTAGTTTTGATTCACTATAGGAGATTTCGTTGCTTGTGTTGTTAGTGAGTGGCTTTGATCATCCTGGTTTAGAGGAGTTTAAGTCAGCAAATCTCTTCTTTAGAGTTCTTGTTTTTAGTCGTTGCCTTTTGTTTCGTCTTTTGATGGTTATGCCCCGTTCTGTTTTTATGCTTCCCTCGTTTGAGGTTAGTTTCCGGAGATATATTTGTCTTCCGTCCGCTTTGTGTATTAAAATCGTATTCTACCCTTGTATTCCTCAATCGTATAATATAATGAAAAAAATTAGACGGTACAACTTTTGTTAATTGTTTTTTTTTCCTTTTTTAATGATTTTTCTTTTTATAATGAGTATACCTTATTTGTTTATAGAATGGATCTACTATAGTTTTTGCAAAAAAATCAAAGATCTTATTTGCACAAAGGAGTAAATATGATGTATGATGCTTTCAAATATTTAGGGATTGAATGGATGACAATGTTAGAGTAATTATTCTAGAGTAATTTTTTTCCTATCTAATATATACTGGAAAGTTTTCACCAATTAAAAGTGTCTTTGATTAGAAAAAAAATCTTCTCTTTTTCCTAATTCTCTTTTTATGTCTCTGCCATCCAAGTTGAGCCCATGGCATAAGCTCAGAAAAATAAGGTTTTAGACGGCATATTTTATAATACATTTTAGGAACATCATTTTTGGAAATGCTCAATAGATATAGTGCTTAAGCATACTATGTCCTTAGTCAATTTGTCAAAAGTTCAAATCCAATGTTTTTCTAAAAGACTTTTTCCATCTTTTTGGGCATCAATTTTATGACTAGTTTTAGGCAGCAAAATCAGATACCTTCGGACTGCATGCTTTCATCCATTCACACCCTTAACACATAACTCGGTATAACTCTCATTAAATTGTTCGATTACATGTAGACATTTTTCTTAAAAGCTTTCATCAGAAAATCCATGATAAAAATAACATCTCTTTAAATTTATAAAATGTTATACATTTGTAAGATATTTTTATCTGACTTATAGAACTGTATTATTTTAAACTTTACAACATGAATATAACTTTGATAAGAAAATATTTCATTTAAAATAAACAATAAAGAATTCAGGAGTCAATTTTTCTATACGGAAATATTATAACAATGCTTATATTGAAATGTATAGTCAACATATAATTTCCAAAAAATAATTGTCAAACACTTCGAATTAATATGATGCACAATAATGAAATAATGTGGTCAATATAATTATAAGAATTAACTAAAGATAGAATTATGAATTAAATTATTATTTTCGTGTATAGTCAGACCACAAATTTGTATCATTCCACCATATATTTGGAAGTAAATTCAATTTTTTTGTGCAAAGAATTTATTTCCATGGAATAACACAACCACATAGAGATTTCAACATGTTGGTGGTTCAATTCGGTTTTTTACTTTTAAGTGTGATTTCAAAGAAACAAAATTAATAGAAAACAAAAAATAATAGATTGTTTTGGTGGAATTTTAGTTTAGATTTGATTTAATTATTTAAACAATTTATATTTATTATTTATATAAAATAATTTTTATTTTATTTCTATTTCATTTTGGTTCAAAATCGATTAAAGTCTTTTTGAAATTTGGAAAAGAACTACTTTAACCAAATTTAAAAAAAAAATGACTGAGATCTTTTTACTTGGTTTTAGATCAAAAGGTTTGGTGTATCTTAAAAATCACAATCAACGTTCAATATTTTTAATAAATAGTAATATATTTTCCATCTTAACGAGCATCCATCTTATCTCTTTCTTTTGGCTGGCACCAGTGCTGAAGATCTTATCTCTTTATTTCATCTCTATTTAACAAAATCTCGCATTATTTTCTCCTCACAAATCCTACAACAAAAAAGAGATCAAAATTAAAGAGTGACTATGGGAAGGAAAAAAAACACACTTGCATGGGTAGAAAATGACAACTCAAGAGCAATAAGTTTGAAGAAAAAGAGGGAAGGGCTAGTGAAAAAGATAAAAGAACTATCTATATTGTGTGATATAAAGGTTTGTATGATCATGTTCAGCCCTTATGAGGTTGAACCTTTGGTGTGGCCATCTGTTGAGAAGGCTCGTGATGTCCTAGACGGTTTCTTTGCCTTACCGGAGATCGAGAAGAAGAAAAAAGAGACGAGCCTCGAATCATACTTGAAGGAGAAGACAAAGAAGGTTCATGAGCAAATGATGAAAACTCATAAGAAGAACATGAATTATGTCATTTCTCAGTTGATGGCGCAACTACATCATGGTCGTAAAATTCATGATCTTAACTTGAGTGAGATCTATGCACTGATATCTTTCTCAAAGGATAATATCATACGTTATAGGAAAGAGCTAGATTTCGTGCAATATCCTTCTCTTCGGGATCCACCAGTGCCACCGTTTGAGGTGCAATTCGAGGAGTTTATGACCACCACAAATGATGTTTTTGTTAGAAAGGGTCAGGAAAATGAGAGAGTCTGGAAAACTAATGAAGCAGGGAAAAGGATTAGCATTGGTACTGCAGTAAAGGGAAATCAAACCTATTACTTGCTAGATAAATGGGTTTTTCCATCTTCTGAACCGCCTAATCCTAGAACCCACCACCAAATCGAGATGGATGTAGTATCTGACAAGAAAAATCCAAATCATATTCCAAACCAAGGAGAGAGTATCAACAAAAACTCTAATTTAGATATGGTGCCGGTTGGAGCCTCAATGATAACCTTCAATGGTTTGATTGGGTTAGTCTCTCAATCTCAACCATCTCAATATTATAGTATGATTGTATGAATTATAATTCAACCATGGTTATGAGTCAACCATCTCTTTTGATTTCAGGACTCGTGAGTTAGGAGTAAAAGAGGAAGGAAGCATTGTCAACAATGGCGACTTAAAATTTCACAGGAGGAGTAACACTACAACAATCAATGATCGTATCCGTAAAGAGCCACCACGTAATGGAACATCCGCTAGGGAAGATAATGATGGTGTGACGTCGTTTGATATGAATAAGGTTTGGCCAAGCATTAACAATAATCATTCCTAGACTTCTAGTTGCTGTGTTTGTTTGTCTGTTTTATAAAGTATGGACTTTTAAAGCTTTTGTCTTGTCATTTTGAAATTGTGTTTCTTTGTTTGTTTGTTTTTGGAATTGTGTCAATCATTTTATCTCGTCATTTTGGTTTACAATGATGTTTAATTTCGTAATTTCGAGAACTTTAGTTGATGTGTCTTTGATAAAGTTCAAAATCATATCGCTAGGTTAATCTTTTAATTTAAATGAACAAAAACAAATTCAAATAATTGCTTGGATGTGCTAGCGTGAGTAGCATTTGCCACTGTTGTCTATTCATTAAACATAAAATATCATCTACATCTTTCTGCATATGGTTGAGAAAATTGCCATTGGGCTTCTTAAGAAAACACAATTCATATTAAATTTATATAATGTGTTTGATTGTTGTTTAATTGTTAATATTACAAAAGCATCTAAAAATGTAATCATGGTATTACTTTTCTTTTTCTGTTATTTAATTGATCTAAACTGAAAATGTTGTTTAATTGATCAAAAAAAAACTTATTTACACAAAAGAACTAGGTAAAAATAAATACGACAAAAAATAAATCAATTGTAAACAAAACAAAATAATGATTTGGAAGTTCATGAGGCACATTTTGCTGAAAACCATCAACAAAGAATGTATTTGGCTAGATCGTTCGACTAAGAAATGAGATCTGGTTTAAGATTGTCTTGTATATGTGAATGAGCTCATTAAGAGGGTGAATACTATGTTGGTGATGCCTCTCATTTCTCTTTCGTCAAATAAAGTAGATAGACAATTGTCGGGTCAAGCTAATGAATGAAAATAGCGTCAAGCGGTAAAATAATTATATTTTAGAAACAAAAGTTACAGTAAATATACACAAAAAATAAAATATATTGACGCACTACAATAAACAAACAAACATTCATATGCTGAAAAATTGTTGTATATATGTTCATGAATTATGTGGATAAAACAAAATATTTTTGGGATATTTATGCGGCAAATAACCATTATTGTTTTCTAATAAGTGAGAAAAATTTTGGATTGAAATACCATTTAAAATAGTCTATTTGATGTTTAGCACATTTAAATCGTGAAAATATAGTAGATGGCGATATTGCTTTAAGATATCTGTTTATATTCGAATTTTGTAGTAAGGTTAAAATTGTGTTATATGCAATTCATATATACTATTTTCACTAAAAAGAAGTATCAATATTAGCATAAACAATTGAAGTATGAAATCGCTATATAAATTGTATATTTTTGAGAAAAGAATAGTTAATATTAATCAGAATTTTATATTAAAAATTGGTTTGATATTTTATATTTTAAAGAAAACTCCAAATATCTTAATATAATCAAGAATTATAAGCTTTTTCAAACTTAAAATGAATTATGTAAAAAAATAATTGTGAAAATATATAATATTGTTTGTTACTGAAATAAAAAAATTATTTGAATTCATCTTAAAACTAAAATTCAGATAAGAAACTAAAAAGAAGATTAAAAAAATATATATTTTGTAACACAATCTAATCTAATTTAGGTATGTTGACAAAAAAAAAATCTAATTTAGGTACCATTGTAAACAAATAAAAAGTATAGGGTCAAAATTTGACATTTTAGAAACACAATTGACAAAATGATAAATATCATGCCAACGCGTTGATCGGTTTTAGCTCTTTTCCTCTGATTTTGTTTTTTCACGATTCACCGAGAAATCCATAGATTGTTTCTTCCTCTATAAGCAACGGTGTGTGATTCTGTATCAAAATCATCAGATTCGCATCCATTTTCGTTTGAATCTCTACGTTTTTCGGTTGATTTTGCTTCTGAGAGAGCCCAGATTCGAAGTTTCTCGAGGAAGAATAATGTCGGCAAGGCATGGGCAATCGTCGTATCGAGATCGAACGAAGGAATTCATCGATATCGTTGAGAGTCTAAGGAGATCGATTGCTCCGGCGGCGAATATTGTACCGTATGGTAATAATAGGAACGATGGTTCGAGAAGAGAGGATCTTATCAACAAATCCGAGTTCAACAATAGAGCTTCTAAGATTGGTTTAGCAATTAATCAGACGTCGCAGAAGCTTTCGAAGCTAGCGAAACGTAAGTTGTTTTTACTGATCTCATGAATCTGGATAACTTTAATCTTGTTGCTTCCTCTAATGGCTTTAGCTTGAGAATTAGAATGGTCTAGGGATCGAAGAGGTTGTTGTTTCTGCATCATTGATTAACTTGTGATTTTGATGTAAATTAGTTGCAAAGAGGACATCAGTTTTTGATGATCCGACTCAGGAGATACAAGAGCTGACAGTAGTCATTAAGCAAGAGATCTCTGCTCTAAATACTGCTCTGCTTGACCTTCAAGTGCTTCGTAGCTCCCAGAATGGCGAAGAGAACAATTCTAGAGACACATCAACTCACTCAACAACAGTTGTTGACGTTCTAAAGAATCGCCTGATGGATACTACCAAAGATTTTAAGGATGTTCTTACTATGAGGACCGAGGTTCGTTCTTTGTTTCTTTGGATTTATTTTTCGATTAAGCTTGAGTATTTAGTCGTGACTCTTACCTTATTGCTAGTGTAATGATGATAGACTGAGCTTTGATTTACTTGTCTGGTGTTGCAGAACATGAAGATCCATGAGAATCGAAGGCAACTCTTCTCTTCAAATGCTTCTAAAGAATCAACAAACCCGTTTGTTCGCCAGCGGCCTTTGGCTGCTAAGGCTGCTGCTAGTGAATCTGCTCCTCTTCCATGGGCGAATGGGTCTTCTTCATCGTCATCTCAGTTAGTCCCATGGTAAAGTACTATTAACCTAATAACCATAGTGGAGTCCAGAAAGTTGCTATGGATTTACTAGAATCTCATCTGTACAATGTCAGTCATTGCTTATTTAAGATTTGGCATGTCAAGAACTCAAGACCTTTCATAATCTCTGCATTTACAGGAAGCAGGGAGAGGGCGAATCTTCACCATTGTTGCAGCAGAGTCAACAACAACAACAGCAACAGCAGCAAATGGTCCCATTGCAAGACACATATATGCAGAGCCGAGCCGAAGCTCTACACAACGTTGAATCAACAATCCATGAGCTAAACAGTATCTTCACACAACTAGCAACCATGGTTTCTCAACAAGGGGAAATTGCTATCAGGTTTGTCTTCCTCCTGAGGGAAACATCAAAATGTGTTATAATGTCTAATGATTCGTAGAACATTTGTGGAAAGGAAGTAATATAATATGCTGTACAGGATCGATCAAAACATGGAAGATACATTAGCGAATGTGGAAGGCGCACAGAGCCAACTGGCCAGGTATCTCAACAGCATATCGTCAAACCGATGGCTGATGATGAAGATTTTCTTCGTACTCATTGCATTTCTCATGATTTTCCTCTTCTTCGTGGCGTAAACATTGAGACTAAAAAATTGATTTAAAAGAGTTTCAAAATCTAGAAATGGTTCTTTTTTCTGTCGTATTGATAAGTATGTGGGAGCAAAGACTGTTACGTGAGAAGAGAGCTGGTTTAGAAGAAGAGCCCGTTTAGTTTGGTTTAGACCTTTTGTATGGAAACTTTAGTATGTGTCATTGTTGTGAGAGAGTGATGATGTAGAGATGTTCTAGAGCTCCTTCTATATACAGACTGTACTGATTTTTTGTGAAATAATAAAGATTCCAGATTCTTTCTTATCACGATCTTATGCTCTGTTCAGATTAATGGAGATATATAATGTCACTTTCATGTAAAATTGCTTTAAAAGTTTTCCATACAAATTTTTGTGATTCTGGTTCTCTTTTCATTACCACTTCTTGCCTACCATTGTCCATTAGGAATGTTTCTTATTTCATTTGTATTTTGTTTATTACACAAAAGAAAGAAAAAAAATAGTTTGATTACTGTGTTTTTTTATCTATTTGGTTTGTATCAATCCCTATTGATACGACTTAATGGAAAATATTTACTTCTGTTGTAAGTTGATCAATCTACGACTTGAAATTTTTTAATAAATAGATGAAACATGTTCAATAGCTGCAAGCCTGCAACACTATAATCACCAATCCATGAGCTACGGAATATCTTCTGTTGTTTGGTAAGTCGCTTTCATACGTTTAGCTCTTCCAATTCAGGACTTAATGGCTTAAAGAGAGCGTCCACTTCGGTTTCATCTACATCGTCTAAGCTCGCTGGTTTCCATTTCGGATTCTGCAACGAAAAAAAAACACTCATGAATGAGCTTATAGTAGGCATTACAGAGACGACTGAGTATGAGAAATGCACTGAGTAGGAAGAAAAAAGTGACTGAGACATGTCTAGATTTATAAACTCAACTTCATGTTTTTGACCCAACTAGAGAAATTAGAAAGCACACAAAAACCATATGACAGCAGAAATAGAAATGATGGACAATGTGACAAAAATATTGAGTGGCAATGAACAAAAACCTGGTCCTTGTCAATCAAAACTGCTCTAACACCTTCAGTGAAATCATTGCGCAATGCAGATCTTAGAGCAATGCGGTACTCAGTTTTCATCACACCGTTAAGCTTCAAAATAGAAAGAATAGTAAGTATTACTAAGGTAAAACTCGTAAATTTATTGGATACAAAGCGTTTGGACTCACTTTTGACATTGTGTTGTTGTTTTTACCCTTGGCACCAGCAACTTTCGAGAAGTACTTATGTGTTAGGTAAAGAGAAAACGGTGCACCTTTTTCAAGGCCTTGGAGTGCTTCATTAGCCCATTCTGAAACTGTACACAGACATTGTGTCCAAATTACTCAGACGCAAGATAGCGATTTCAATTTCGTTAATGAAAACAGCAACTAAGAGTAGTCTTTCTTAGAAATCAAGATTGGTAACATACAAGCACAAAGGGTTTGGTATTTCAATATTAAAAAAGCATTAAAAGAACATGGAACCAAAAATCTTCGTCGAAACCTTAAGATACTAATGCATATCATACCTGAAGCCTCAGTGCTCTGCTGGTACTTCTTCAGCTCTTCTATAGTTTCCTTAACAGACTTACTTGCACTAAAAGCTGATTCTATCTGAGGCAAAAGCATTTTGAGGTGGGATTCAGATTCAGGATCACCGCTGTAATTTGATAAAGTTGCTTGGATGTGTTGATGGGGATCCTTGGAACTGTATTACCAACACATATGCTTTCTGAGAGACTAAACAAAATAATACCAAAAGCTCCTATATTTGAAATATACACATGAAATCAATTGAAATACGTCGAACAAAGTAGTCTGCAAGGGCCTACATGTCAGCTGACAAAATGGCTTCTTTGAGTGACCCTAGCTTTCCAGATGGTACATAATGTGTCCCAAGACCCACAAACAGTGCATCTGAAGGTGTGGAAATCCTTCTCCCAGTCATACCAAGGTAAGAACCTGCAGAATTTGAAGGTTGAAAAGTTGACCTTGAACATAATGACCAGGTCAATAATTGACATGACAGCAAGAAATTTACTATACCAATAATCGTCATTTTTCACAAGTTTTGTAAGTTTGAGAAACAACTCAAGTTGGCCTAGAGACAAAAAAAACTGGCCTTTGCCAATTTCCCTTGTTCTTTATAATATACGGATAGAAAGTAAATGATCATATTAGGAATCTAGGATATGAACATACCAACAGATCCTTCGCCAGGGCTATGAGCTGCTATATATGAAAATCCAACATCTGGAAACAAACCGATTCCATTTTCTGGCATTGCGAGGACCGTCCTCTGGAAATGGATAACAAAACAGTAAAATTCATGCTAAATGTTATCTGCACAAAAGTACAGAACAAGGATTTACTAATGTGAACCTCTGTTATCACGCGGTAGCGTCCATGTCCAGAGAGGCCAAGACCAAATCCCATTGTTATGCCATCCATTAAAGAGATATATGGCTTTTTGTAACCAGCAATCTTGCATATGAGGCTATATTCAGCTGTAAATACCTAAAAGGAAGCAAAGTTATGAAGTTAGGACATCATTAACAAGAAACATATATTTTGGAGGGTAATCAAATGAACTAAAGCAACTGATGGTGAATAAAAATTGTAAGAAACTGAAGGCGAGTACTTCAAAAAAAGGCCGATCCAAGTGAAACATAAAGCAAACATGGAGTTAAACTTAAAAGCCTAGACTAAAGAGTGTTTCCACAAAAATTAATTTGATCAAAAGAATAGACCACCTATCATTACCAAGAAATTTCCTAGTACGTCTTCAAGTATGTTTAGTGGAAGTACAGTATAATCCACTAGAAAAAAAAAATCAGCTTGTTATTGTACTATTAGGTAGCAAGTATTGGATTTGTAAGAAGACTGAAGTGAAAACTGTTGCATTGCATGACTAGTATTTCTCTATTTCTGTTTCAATAATCCTGACTTATGGGGAAAAAAGAGCACAACCAGACCTCTATCATATCTGACAATTGATTTTTCATTGTAATCTGCTTCACATCACCACCTGCAGATAAACTAAGACCATAGTTACAAACTTTCTATCCAGTTTGAATTAAATAAAGAAAACTTTCTGTTGCAAGAAAATGAATCTAAAATCTCCCACTCCCTCCCCACAAAAAGCAAAACACAGCACATAAACACACAAAAATTTCAAAATTTTATGAATATTAACATGATTCAAGAAAGAGATAAGCAAGGAATAATGCTATAAAGTTATAACCATCTTCTACAAGCCAGTCAATAACAAATGATTCATATATAAACCTTTTTCACAAGAGACGTGTTTTTGTCCATTAGGATCTCTGCAACAACTCCTTTAATATCCATCCCTGCACCATTACAAGATAAGACCAGACCAGATGCAATACAATTTCCACAAATTTATCCTACAATCTTAGAAACCAGAATCCACTATTAAGAGTTTTCTTCTTTACCTGCACAAAAGGCCCGAGGTGTGCTGCCTTCAACAACAACACATTTGACACTAGGGTCAGATTCCCATTCATCAAGAAAGCTTTTATACTTCAAATCCATTTCTGCAAAATTTTGTTTCTTCAATGATTGAACTTGGGTTTGAGTTCATTAAAGAAAAAGCGTAAGTCTTTGTGAAAAACGGACCTAGATTCATGGCGTTGAGAGCTTTAGGTCGATCAAGAGTGATGAAAGCAACGCCATTTGGATTAACATTTCCTTTCACGAACTCGTCGCTTCCATTGGCCATCACTGAGAATTTCCGGCGATGTGATACAGAGAGCTTAGAGAGGGGAGTAAGAAAAGATGGAGAGGTTTTAGAGAAGAAGATGCGAGCAGAAGCCAAAGTCTTGATCATCACTGTGATTCCCAATTCCACGTTTGTCGGAGAAACCAAACTTCAATGACTTTGTTCTGTTCGAACCTCCAAAATACTCTGTTTCAGTTGAAGAGTCCACTAGTCCGGCAATATGTCGTTCGGCCCAATACTAACAGGCCCAATTCAAACCATAATTTTTTTCCCTTTTTTTTTTTCCGTCAACAAACCATAATCTTTGGTGTTTTGTTTTGTTTTTTCTTTTTTTTTGTGCACCCATTATCTTTGGTTATACTTAATAGTTTTGGGGATCATTGCATAAAATTTTTTTTGCAAGAATAACCTCGTACTAGAAAAATTGCAAAAAATATTCAATCATATTAAAGGTTGTTGATCTAAATTCCAATGTAAATAATGTAAAGTTATCGGAAGAAACGTAAAACCCGATCGTTTTACCTTAAAGAAAAATGACATATCAACTATACATGATGAATTTTTTGCTTTTAGAAAACGCATATCATATTCTCAGTCGATTTTGAACATGATGATTGAAAAGAAAGCGGCACAACATCATATTCTAAGCAAGGATAATGGTCGAGGAATCCAATCCAAAGGTCAAGATAATTCCGACAAACAAGTTCTTCAAATCAACCAGCTAAAGTAAAGATCAAATGTCAAAAATTGATATTCAACATTTCAGCATCAAAGCTCAATCTGAGTATTAGCATCACATCTTCTATAGAAAGACACCAAAGAAAAAGAAATACAAAATCAGTATGTATATATGTGTATCATCATATAGATTGTAGTTCAATTAGAGTTAAAACATTTCTTCAAATCTTTACAGTTATAAAGAAAAATTAAAAAAAAAAAAACATGTAATTTCTTGCATCTTTAACTATAACCTTGACCAGGTCTTTTAATATTGCCCATTTCACGTGTGGTCTGACCGTCAGTGCTCGACCAAGACGGGTACAAATCATATTCACTTATTGGATTAGTATACAAATCTTGAGTCTCGAGTCCCATTTTCCTAAACCTGTTCATGCCTTCACTGTCTTGGCTCGAGTCATAATCCGTGCTTCCTCCAGATGAGCCGTACACATTGCTGTGACCTGGTGTGATCCCTTGGTTCAGATCTAAAGGCGATATGTTTCCTTCTAGTACACGCACAACCTGGTAGTATTTTTATACCAACCACTCATTCGATTAGCATTATTAACACTTTTCAATCACTAATATTTGGTAATGTAAAAACAAAACACAAGTGTAGATAAGAAAACATGTTGTCCCATTGCTCGGTCAAATCAGCAATATATAAGACTAAAGCATACACACCGAACCAACTAAGATCGAATACGGTATAAACCGAAACCAAATCGGAAACAAAATTAGTGCAACCAATTTTTTCTTAAGTGACATTTTAGATTAGTTTTTTACTATAAAGAAATTTAATTATACAAAATATGATAAATTAAAATAAAATTAGTTATATAGTATATTTTTGGTAGTTTTTGTTTTCGAAGCCAAAAAACTAAACCGAACTGACAAGTGCCAATCTTTTGGTTCTAGTCTTCTTGCTCAGTACTAGATTTTAATCCGCAGTACACCGTGGGATGATTTAATTTTAAAGTTAGTATAAAAATATTTTGTAAATTGTATCTCTTTATAACATATTTATTTATATTATAGTTTACAATTGGTATTAAGTAACGGTATACCACGAGTCCACGAGACAATTATTAATAAACTGAAGATTTAACCCGTATTAAAGCGGTATATAAATATTGATTCAAATTCGTCCGCCGTAAATCCTTTCCGAAATATAACCCGTTCCGTAATTTCTTAACCCGTCCCGTGATTTGTTTTTATTTTAAAATTTAATGATTATTTATTATATATAAAAGTTTACAAATCATATCATTCTCTAAGACATTTATATTTTAATAAACTGAAGATTTAATATGTATTAAAGCGGCATGTTAATGATATTTTAAAATTTTATAAATATTTTTATTAAATAACATTATACCACGGGACAATTTTTGGTTTTATACATTCTTTTCTAAATGAGACTGATTTAATATGTCTAATATTGGTGGTATTAAAAAAAAGGATTTAATCCATATTGAAGCGGCGGATTAATGATATTTTAATATTTTTATTATTGTTGATTCAAAAACCCGTCCCGCCAAACCCGTCTGGCCAAAAAACTCATTTATTTTATTAATGTTGATCTTATTTATGATATGATTCTGAATCATTGTCTAAATATTTTAATCGATATAGAACGTTAAACACACATTTTTGTCAATTAGATAATATATGTCCGTTTTTAAAATTTCGAATCACAATATATGCAGAAAAAAATTGATTTTTTTTTTAGTTTATGTATTATATGATGATTCAAAATAGATAGGAGAATCATAATTCTAAATCTTAATCAAATCTTCTAAATATCTAAATTATTAAATATGGAATATCCGGTGTATGAGTTGGGTTAAATATAACCCGACCCAACAAATTTTGTGAAGGATTTTTTGAAACGGGTCGGATATCCAAATAACCCGAGAGCATTTTTACCCACCCGTCACCAAAATGTAGCAAAAATACTAGTATAGATAGATACATATTTGAAAACCGGAAAGTCAAATGCCCACCCCTAAATAAAAGAATGATTAAGTTACCTGATCCATGCGAGGTCTGCGGCGAGCTGTAGATCGAACACAAGCTGCGGCACAAGCAACCACGCGAGCCATCTCTTCTCGATCATACTCATTATTCAACTTTGTATCAACCACAGCCTCAAAGTTTCCTATTTCAGATACTTGGTTAAGCAAAGGTCGTGCCTGTTCCATATTATTCACACAGATTTTGCTTCATTCAATAGTCACATTGTAAATATTATGTGAAAGTTAGATTATTTGTAGTTATATTAATTACCCAATCAACCAAGCTGTTATCTGCATGGACATTGTTTGCATCAATAGGGCGACGTCCGGTTATTAGCTCCAAAAGTACAACGCCAAATGAGAAAACGTCAGATTTTTCTGTCAGTTTTCCGCTTGAAGCATATTCGGGAGCTAAATACCTAAAAATCCAGAACCAAAAAGTTTCAGGATATGTAAAGATTCACATAAATTTTTAACAAAATTGCATAAATGTACATATTTAGTAGCTTCAAGATTATCTTTACCCAAAAGTTCCCATCACACGTGTAGATACATGGGTGTTTGTATCCGAAGCAATCTTGGCAAGACCAAAATCAGCAACCTAATAGATAGAAGAGAGACAAAAAAAAAAAAATCAAATAAGCTTGACGAAAATATCATACCAAGTTACATATAATGCCTTAATGGAAACATAAAAACAGAAAAAGAAAAAATAAATCATACCTTAGCTTCAAATTTGAAATCAATCAATATGTTTGCCGCCTTGATATCACGGTGGATGATTTTAGGATTGCCTGCAAATATATAAATGGGTACCGAATAAACAAACATGGCCTATATTAAACATGATCTTAATTAGTCGACTTACAATTTTCATGAAGATAAGACAATCCTTTGGCAGAACCAACCGCAATCTTCAATCTTGAACTCCATTCCATTGTAGGTCGTCCCTTCCCTGTCATAATTCAATTCCCAAATAAATCATCACACATTGAAAACATTAAAGCATGCAAGAAACTATTTAAGAGTTTAGTTTTTTTTTTCCTAACCATGGAGGTGAAACTCGAGAGTGTTGTTGGGAACAAACTCATACACAAGCAATCTTTGAGCATCGGCGATGCAATAACCGACAAGAGCAACCAAATGTCTATGGTGAACTCGGCTAATGATCCCAACCTCTGCTTGAAACTCTCTCTCTCCTTGAGAACTCCCTTCTTTCAACTGTTTTACAGCAACTTCTTTTCCATTACGCAACATACCTTTAAAAACGTAGCCGAAACCACCTTGTCCTAATAAATTGGCCTCAGAGAAGCCATTGGTGGCTCTAGATAGCTCCTCGTAATTGAAAGTGCCTTGATAGATGCCTAATGCAAGCCCTGGTGATGGTGGAGGAAGAACTGATTGATCTGAGTAGTTTGAGTCGTAGCCGCCACTGCTGCTACTGCTCATTAAGTGTGGCAGACGTGGTGGTGCAGAGGTTGGCATCGGTGGTGGCAGTGAAGCCATCACGTTATTTGACTGTCGTGATGCATTTTGTTGCTGATATCCACCGTAAGGGCCTCCAGCTGAGAAACACAAGAACATCAAATCTGATTAACGGTTTCTCTATGGATAAATCCATATACATTTCTTTCCATGTCTATGATTTTCCAATATGTAGGGAAATTAAAATATATCGATATGCAATTTTTTCTACAAAAACGTAATAATTTTTCACAAAATGCATATTCAGATATTTAAAAGAAAATGTAGATAAATCTAATTATTACAATTAGGTTCTAAATGGTTGTATATAGAAAACCAAGATTATATAGATAAATCATAGAAATGAGGAAAAATATAGTTCAAGATTTGATTTCTTGATTTAATCTAATTAAGATCTTTGTTTTACCTATGGGAGCAGGAGGTGCTTCATCATCTCTTCGTCGTTTTTTCTTACAAAGGAAAAAAATCAAAGTCAATACCACAACAAGCATAGCAACTCCTCCGATGGCAATCCCAACAAACACTCCCTTTGATAATCCACCGGAAGATGGCGGACCCCCGCCAGAGGGAGTTGCTGGAGGTGGAGGGCTTTGTGTGTCCGACCGAGGCAGAGTGGGTGTTGGAGGAGGCGGCGGAGATGGGAAAGATCTAGGTGGGGTTGAAGGAGTGGCGGGAGACGGTGGAGGAGGAGAAGAAGGTCTCAAGGGAGAAGGTGGAGGAGGCGGAGAAGAAGGTGTCAAGGGAGGTGACGGAGGTGGAGGAGAAGGTGTGGTGGGAGATGGTGGCGTAGGAGAAGGCGTCAAGGGAGGTGAAGGAGTGATGGGAGAAGGAGGTGGAGGAGAAGGCGTCAAGGGAGGTGGAGGAGAATTAGGTGTAGGCGGAGGCGGAGACGGAGGAGGAATGGCTGGAGGCTGAGGTATAGGAGGAAGGATAGGAGGAGGGACGACGGGAGGCTGACTCTGAGGTATAGGAGGAAGGACGGTAGGAGGGACAACGGGAGGCTGAGGTATAGGAGGAAGGACGGTAGGCTGAGGTGAAGGAGGAATGGGAGGAAGTGGTGGAGGAGTTGACGGAGTAGAACCTGGAGGCGGCGCCGATGACATATCTCCCCACAATAAAAAAAATTAAGCGACAGAATAAAAAAAATAGAATGTTCAAAGCGGGAAAAGAGGTTGAGTTTGATTACTTCTATAGTCAATTTTTTGTTTTTTCCAACCTTTGGTCGAAAGATATTAGACGAAATGCTCAAACATTTACCGTTCTTAGAATATTAAATTGCATAGAGTAGAATGCGTAATATTACTTATTGTATAAGTAAAAATTAGAATATAGTTTGGATTCTTCTTGAAGTCCAAATTTGAAAGAAAGAACGGGAGTGCACCAGCATAAATTCATGGCCACCTATTACATTGACGTTTCCACTAATTTTTTGTTACTATTTAACATCAAGTTACACCAATATAATCTAGTAAAACTGAAACGTACAATAACTAATTTTCTTGCTAGTCATATATATTCGATCAAGGTTCTTAATAATAGGCCAATAATTATATCAATGGGATTAGGTCAGATTTCCAGATAATGTTCTTTTCTCTTCAGATAATTATTATTGTTGTAGGGTCAATGTCCTATCATTGTATTTATCTAGTTTAAAACAACCCACGAGACGTTTAATCCGAGAAAAAAAACAGAAGTCAATGATGTAATTGCAATGATACTTGTCATGTTTGGTTTGGTCAAAAAAGTTTTTTGTTTTTGTCAATTGGTTCTTTCATATTAATTGAATTCAAATACCAGTGACATAGTGGTTTAAACAAACCAATTTTATTTGATGTTGGTCATTAGTTTATACTAGTAATTAGAACAATCTTTGTCTCTACCAGACTATCACCATCAAATAAATATATTGAATTGGTTTTATGGAAGTTATTTGGTCGTTTCCATGATGCAAATTGGTTCAGGAGTTTTTGATGGTAGTTAATTCTAATCTTCGGCAGCCAATAATGCTCTTGAAGCCGGACTCAGCTTCGTACATACTTAACAACATCTATGGTATCAGGGATTAAGGTGGATAATTATGGAGGATGATTCCAATCAGATTCTAGATTAAAACACTGGACAAACTACACTATCATCATGATCACTTAGTTATAACCTTTTTTCATTATATATTCAACAATAAAAAAATAAAATAAAAAATTACCGCAAGAAGTAAAGATTTTCAGTTTGATAAAAAGAAGCTCAAAACATAATCACTTTCACTCCATCTTTAAAAATAAAACATAAACTAATAATGGAAATTACTTTGTAATACACATTCACATTACACAAACATATAGTATATGAATACTACTAAGTACTAATAAAAGACGCACTTAATTTTATTAGTTATACGATATTATAGACAAGAAAAAAAAAATCGATCAATCGACGCAAATCTCTTATATATAAGCCTTAAAACTCGAGGAGGCGTCTCATGACGCCAAGCAGCTCCAAATGTGATGTCATCTGTGGAAAATGCCCGGTCGCGTCTTCGATGATCTCCACCGTCGATTTCCCTTTAATCTTCTCATGCATGAAGTAAGCGACGGAGACAGGCACTACGACGTCGTTTCCTGGTTGTATGACATGGCAAGGCACTGACACTTGTCCCAAAAGCTCTCTCTCGTCGCTACCAAACACTATCTTAGCTAAGGCAAGAGCCGTCTCGGGCTTCATCTTTTTAAGGGACTTCTCGAACCTTTGGACCGAGAGAGAGTCTCTAGGGTCGACCACGACGGAGGAGAATTCAACCGCCCAAGCCTCGTAGTTGGAGCCAATGTTGGAGATGATAGTGTCGATGTCTTTTGACTCAAACCCTCCTTTGTAATCCTCACTGTTTATATACCTATTTGCATTTTAATCTAATAACGTTACTAATTTGATCATCTAAGTATCATTTTCTTTTTACATTATAAGTACGTTGCATTAGACATATATAGTCAAATATTATCAATTGTTGCATTAAATTATGGCCGACTTTCTCACCTATAACTATAATAAATATCTAAAGTAAGCAGTCAAAATATGATACTTCAAACAGTTAACTCCCATTCAATAAATTTCTATATCTAGGAAAATGTAGTATTTTTAGTGGTCCACGTGATATATTAAGATGGGTTTAAGTTTTAGTACTTTCAACCTAAAAATATTGACAATAAATATACTGATTCATGATATTTATATTATAGCAGATTTTATATAATTTTCGATGTGAGATCTCTATGAGATGACATACTAAAACACATTACATGACATATTGATATGCATATGTAGCATGCTTACATATATGTATTTATGTATATATGCGTAGACTGCAGGAAAGTAGGATAAGATGTGATCATATCCCATATTCATCCAACAAGCTAGAAGCTGATCATGTCCACATGTTCAACACTTGGCAACAAGTTACACTTCATTACATATACTGTAGATATCATCCACATAAAAACTATTAAATATTGGCTAATACTATTGTATATTATCGTAAAGGATGAGTTTTTTTTGTCTTTTTTCATGAAGCACATATTCACGAAGGAATCTTGTACGATTGATCAGACTGTATATCCTTATATATTTTGATTGCATGTGCTTAGATTTCTCTTTCGAACGTAAATTTAAATTCTAAATCATCGTTCTTCATGTTTATTTACAGATATATTATCATATTTACCTCTTGTATAAATAGATTCAATATAGACCTAAATGATATTCTATCCACAGAACTAGATTACACACACACACACATATATATCTTTGATTTTTACTTGTAATTTTGTTAAGGGGAAGTGTTAATTATTAGTAAATTAAGAGTGAGCGTACCTTGGAGAAGCAGCAATAAGGAGAAGATTTGTAAACAAGTCAGGCCTTTTAATAGAAGCAGCACAACCGATCATCCCCGACATGGAATGGCCTACGAACACGACAGGGCCAAACTTCAACTCCTCCATAAGAGCAATGAGATCGTCAGAGAAGGCGACCAAAGAGTTATACTTTGAAGGGTCATAAAGAGTTTGGTCTTTAATGGCTCCAGAGAAAAGCCAGTCAAAGACCAAAACTTTGAAGGATTGGGACAAGACCGGTATTATCTTGTCCCACACTGACTGATCGCCTCCGAAACCGTGTGCCAGGACCATTGATCGCTCGCCTGAACCGATGATTTTGGCGTTCATAGCGGATGCAAGGCCGGATATCTTCTGATTAACCACCATGCTTAAGTAGAAGAGTTTTCTTAGATGGGACAACTTTGATAAGTTGTGTGTGTATATATATAGGAGAAGAGAGATGGATTAGGTTTATGGTTCTTAATTGACATCCAACCACCGATTTTATTAGGCTCGCATTTTGGTACATCCAAACATTTATGGCCTTTTCAACAATGGCTGTATTTGTATTCATTGTCCATCTACATTGCATCTTAGAGGATAAAACAATACCCATCTATGTGAAAACGAATCTCTACTTTTTGGTATTAAAAAAGTATAGTTATCTGGACTCGAAGTAAAGTAGTTTTGTTTGTACGTGTAAATGTATTAACTAAATTGACGTAGACATCAACATGATTTCGATACACTAGCATAACCATAAATCTTAATCATGTTCTAGTCAATGAAAATAAATCACAACGGCGAATTCTAATAAATTAATTAACATCTATCTTTGCTACTCCTAGGAGTCATCTAAGGAACGTATAAAATGACCTTTTGTCTTACAATAATAACAATAACGCAAAATTATAATTCTATTTTACATCATTTTCATTTCTCTCCCTTAGATTTTTTACATAAGACATATCGAAAAAAATATAAACTACAACTATACTATACAAATGACAAATGTTCAGAATAATGGATATGAAAGAAAACGATATTAACTGTAATTAAATGTTTTTTTAGTTTATAAAACACATATTAGTAGTATACAGTACACCAATGACTCTTTAGATATATTTGGTTTTTCAAAAGTAGCTCTGCATGGAGTCAATCTCGCCACCTACCGGGGATATTGGTATTTAAAAGATGTATTACAACGGAGATAAACAAAAGTTGTACTTCTTTGACTACTCCTAAAATAAAATTTTCTAGCTACATGCAAATACTTGGTAAATTTTATTTATTCTCATTTTATTAATCCGGATTATGAGTTAGAATAACAATAGGTGTATAACAATTATCAAAAAATAAATAAAAGAAATAGGTGTATAAAAACTGAAATCCATGTTCGTTAAATTTTTGTGATGGAGAGGAAAAGCCTAGAAACGGAATAAAACAACTAAACGTGAGAGGACTTGGACTTAACAGACTTATTGAAATGACTGAAGACCATTTGAGTAAGATTTACACTGTCTCTCTTTTGATACAAAAAGAGTCTTCATGTTTTTATTATTTATATATATTTTACGTTTATATGTTATATTGGTTTTTTTTTTTAACATAGTATACTAATTAATAGTTTATCAAATAGGTTTTCAAAAAATCAGAAAAGAATAGTCAAAACACACAAACCAATAATTGTAAGTAAACCAATTAATAAAATATGTTTTCTATAAAAATAAAAATATAATTGTAAGTAAATATTTTAATTCGACGTATACGTAAAGAATAAATTTTTTTTTTAAGAATAAATATTTACGATTGACAGAATCAGATTGCGAGGCACTAACCATTTGCATTTTCGATGGAATGATGGATGAACAACGAAATATATATATATATTACTCCCTCCGTTTCAATTTAGTTGTCGTTTTAGGATTTAAATTTTGTTTCATAATAGTTGTCGTTTTAGGTTTTCAATGCAAATGTTTGGTGAAAATTCCAGTTTTATCCCTACTGTTTTAATGTTTTGGCCAATGAATTTTTTTATAAAATATATTAATAAAGGATAAAACAGAAATTTAATGCTTTTCTTAATTTGTGTGCAAAAACCTTAAACGACAACTAAAACGAAATGGAGGGAATAATGTTTAAGATATTATCTGCTAAGCTCCCTCAAAATTCTTGACTCAGATGACTATCTCTCTTTTTTTGGCTGATTTTCAGTTATTGTTTTGAATGCTTAATTAATCTCTTTTGATCGTCCTGGTTTTATAGCTAGCATCTAATTAAATGACACCTAATCCACATGCAAATACCATGACTTACATAACAAATTATTGCACTCTATCCAACTTTTCATCATTCAGCAATAAGAAAAGATACCCGACAGAAAAACAAACAATGAACAATCGTCCAAACTCTAGTCTAGTGATAGCCAAATAAAAAGCTCTAGCCACTAAAATATCGAAACCAAAACGTGTAAGGTCCCCAATATTTTCACTTAAAACTTGAAAGTACTCAAATTTATGTGAGGTTTAAATTGGTTCAAAGGTTAAACCAGAGATAATTGAGTGAAAAAAAAAAAAAAAAAAAAAAGACAAGAAGCACACAACCGCACATGAGGAATCTGAAGGACCAGACCCCAAAAGTTTGGTTTTGTCCATACCTTTTCATTTTCTTCTTCCAAATTTGGACCAATTATTATTCTACATTAAATTCAGAAATAGGATTGAAATTTAAATTTTCCAATATTTTGATAATTACTGATTTAGAGTAAATGTGTAATTAGTTCGAATAGAATTGCTTTTAGGTGTTGTGTTTGCATGTATAGATTTCTTCTTCGTGTTTTTTTTTTATTCCTTCACCAAAGTCGAATCACTCTATTTTTCGTCCATTTTCTTGGGATGAAAAAACCACTAACGTATAAAGAAAGTGGTCTATTTCACCAAAAGAATCGTATTTGTGTAGAGTGATCTATATAGCTAAAAAAATAAATTGTGTAGCTAAATATCTTAGACGTGCCCAAGCATCCGTGGTCAGTGGCAGAGAAAGCTTTAAAAAAGGGTGAAACTCCAAAACCTGAATTCGATTCTCCCTGTAAATAAAAATATATTTGTTTGGGAAGTCTGTCAGTTGGGCTTTGGTCCAATTGGTTTATCTGATAGCCAGAAATGCAGACGGCCTGACTACTCCCTGGCACTTAGTCGGAAGGCATTCCAAACTCGAGATAGGTAGAGTGGTAGTCCGTAAGGACCTAACCGTTAACACGGTGGACCAGTCCATTATGTAGCACCTCGGTGCGTTCCTACCGGAGCCGACCAAATAGCCGATAGGGTTTATCAAAAAAATAATAAATAAATAAATAAATATCTTAGACGTACGTCCATAAGGATTTATTTGAAGATAATAACTTAGACGAGAGGCAAAGCGATTATCCGCAAGAACAGTATAGCATACTTATTTGACTTTTCGACCAAATCAAAAAGAATACTTATTTGACCAAATAATTTCGTTTTTGAATAATTACAAAAAGGCAAAAAGCTTGGTTTCGTCGTGTAGTGATCAATCATCAATGTATAATGACAAAAAAAGAAGAAACTAGAAAAAAGTGTACGACCAACTTTTCCTCCTTACCTTCTCCACTCACATCTTTTTTTCTGCTTTACCCAAATTAGTCCATTTGATTGTAAACTTTTAGAGAGTTAACTTTTGGAAATCCTAGTTACAATTAGGTTGCATTTCATACACCACAATTTCTATTTAATGAAATGTAAAACTTATTGGAACAAAAACCTTTGTTACGTTTATATATATATTGTTCAAACATTATATGCATCGTTGAATAGAATGTTTATGAATTAAAGAATTGAAACAATTAAACAACATTCTTAAAAAACCACCAACTCTAGTTTTTAGTCTCTTGAACCAAAACCAGATTCGGACACCATCTTCATACACAACAAGTTACCTCAATGTTTATACATAAACGTTACACTTATATAGTATAATCGTTTTTAGGGAGACTCACAAAAATGCCCCTTTTTCAATACCCCTTTTCAAAAATGCCTCCTTTGGATGTCCATTTTTAAAAATACCCCTTTTATGTACAAAATGACTAAATTACCCTTCTTTTAATAAAAGATATCGTAAATATATAAGGAAATATAACAAAATTAGGTCCACAAAATACAAAATATTTTTTGGCGGGAAAAGTGATCCCCCAATTTTTCCCGCCAAAACACTTGTAAAAATTTGTAAAACCTTTAAAATACCTTGTAAAATTTTCCCGTAAAATTTTTTCCCGCCAAAAAATTTTCCCGCCAAAAAATTTTTTTTGCGGGAAAAGTGATTCCGCAAATTTTTTGGCGTTAAATTTTTGGCGGGAAAAATTTACAAGGTATTTTAAAGAGTTTTTACAGGGTATTTATAAGGTTTTACAATGTATTTTAAAAGGTTTTACAACGTATTTATAAAGTATTTATAAGATATTATAAGATTTTACAAACTATTTTATAAGGTTTTACAAGTTATAAGGTTTTACAAGTTTTTTACAAGGTTTTACAAGTTATAAATACCTTATAAAACCTTATAAGTACCTTGTAAAACCTTTTAAAATACATTGTAAAACCTTACAAAACACTTGTAAATACTCCGTAAAACCTTTAAAATACCTTGTAAATTTTTCCCGCCAAAAAAATTTCGGCAAAAAAATTGCGGAATCACTTTTCCCGCAAAAAAAAATTTTTGGCGGGAAAAATTTTTACGGGAAAATTTTACAAGGTATTTTAAAGGTTTTTACAAGTGTTTTGGCGGGAAAATTGCAGGATCACTTTTCCCGCCAAAAAATATTTTGTATTTTGTGGACCTAATTTTGTTTCAAATAAGGGTAAAATGGTCATTAAAAATTAAAAGAGGGCAAACTTAAAAATGGACTCTCAAAAGGGGCATTTTTGAAAAGGGGTATTGAAAAAGGGGCATTTTTAACAATTTATCTCGTTTTTATCATTTACGTGATTTTAACTTTTAACTCTTTTTTTATATCTTTTAATTGTCAAACTGATTCATAAAATTGATTCATATATCTTAAGTTGTCCTAAAATATAAGCTCGTTTCACAAATCATAAGGTCTCAAAAAACTTGCGATAAGTAATTGTTACAATCATTAGAATAAAAAGAAAAAGAGAGAAAATGAAAATAAAATAATAAATGAGGAAAATGAGAGTTGAAGAGTAGAGACTAGAGAGTACAAATTGCCTTTTGCCTTTAAAAGCCGGTTCCTACTCTCCTTGTCCGCGACATAAATGTCGTTAGCATTATCAACGATCATATCTATCCATACACACGTGTTTTGTGCCATAATCATCAATTCATCATATAATTCTTATTCCAATCTCTAGATTTGTTGGGAAAATTAGAAATAAATGATGTTTTAATGGATAAATGTCCATATATACTTTTATATAAAAAGTTTGGTGAAATAGGTTTTTAAAAATCAAAACCCAAATTTACCCTCATATTTTCGAAAATATAATTAACAAAATTTTTTAAAAAATATTTCCTATTTTATTTACATAATTCAGATACCCTCATTCTTTCGCCAGATTGACCTGTCTTCACTAATTTGGGTATAACTCTTGAATGCACCGTTAGATTTCCTTTAAACCACTTGGAAAATCAAGCTAACATCTTCATCTAGCTTGTGTCAAAAA